AGCATCTGACGGGGGCGTCAGTGAACACACCTCAACCACTTAGTTAAGGAACTCTTTATTGAGCGAACGTCGTCTCTGTTCTGGCTGCTATTAAATTAAACAGTGTCTCGGAGCCTGTTAGAGGACGGGGGAGGACGAAGGGGAGAGTGTCTGTCTCCACCTGTCCCTCAGCTCCTCTGGAAGACACGCGCTGAGGAAGTGAGGACGGATAACTGACACCAGGGAGACGGAGGGTTGAAGAGGAGCAAAGAAAATATGCAACGACTGAACACCTGCCCCTGAACCAAGGTGAACGTTCCACACCACACACACTTCACACTGAAGGGGGGGGGGGGCATGGAAAATAAAGTTCAGTGACTAAAGATTTAAAGTAAAGTGGCTGATCAACCAAACAGTTCAGCACCCACCTGCAGTACCTACGTTCACCCTGTAGGGGGTCTGACTCACTCATAAGGACCAGAACATGAACCGATTGTTCTGGATTTTCTGAAGCCCTAGAACCAGGATCAGCTCCACGTCCTGGAACTGATCCAAAGGAGCTGACGTGTCAATCAAACATCAAACAGGTGTGTGTGTGTGTGTGTGTGTGTGTGAAGATGAAAAAGTTATGTAAAAAGTCAACCTGGGGGACGGGGGGTTGGACGTGATCAGCTCTTAGAATAAGAAGAACAGTGAGAGACAGAGTCACGGTGAGCCAACCCCCCCCCACCTCACCCCCCCAGTCCCACTTACTGCTGAGTCCACCATATAACGAGGCCAACAGCCAATGGGAGTCCAGGCTTCTCTACACTAACATGAGGTGATGATTGGCAGTGCATGATGGGAGTTGACACCGACCTGTGCTGCTCTGGATGGTTCTGACGGTGGTGGTGGTGGTGCGAGGAGGTGAACTGCTCCTCCTGCTCCCTGCTGCGACCACTCCTCCTCCTCCTCCTCCTTCCTCCCCCTCCTCCTCCTCCTCCCTGGAGCAGCCCTTCTCGATGGCACGGACGTAGCTGTGGCTGCGCATGCGGAAGCAGCCGGACATGGGCAGGTCCAGGGCGTCCACGGCCTGAGACTCCATCTCACTGAACACCGCCTCACACACCGCCTCGATCTGCCCGTTCACCTCCACCTCACTCACCTGTGGGGGAGAGGTCACAGGGGGGAGGTGCTCACACACACACACCTGACCCAGAACTTCAACCAACAGCTTCAAACGATTTCTCACCAAACCTTCAACCCCTAGAGGTTCCATGAAGGAACTGCAGAGTGGTTGATTTAAAATAAAAATCGCTTCTGTTCTTTGCTCCTAACCCCCCCCCCCCCCCCCCCCCCCCCACGTGACCTCAGTGTAGGGGTGAGAGGACCGCAGTAGGCAGAGGAGCGGGGGGCCCCCGGGGGCCACTGACCTGACTGATGGTGCTCATGGCTCTCATGTAGCTCTCGTTTCGTGAGCGGAATTTAGGCGAGGCCAGCAGACCTGCTGGGTCCAAGCTGTCCAGACTCCTATTGATGGAAACCTCACTCACCGCCCGCAGGTAGCTGTGGCTCCGGATCTGCAGCTTGGGAGAATGTTCGGTGGAAATCCTGAAAAACAAGAAGAAGAAGAGAAGAAAATCAGACATGAAAAAATATCCACGAGGAAGAGGAGTCTGTGATCACGTCCTGTTTCTACTCCATCCAAAGACTGTGGAGGTTGTTAACCTGATGACGTGGGAGGGAAAAACATGAACGTTCTCAGAAAGGAACGATCCTCCAGTCAAAATACAGATGAGGAGAGGAGTGCCCCCCCCCCCCCCCCCCCCCCCTCCTCCCCCCCCCCCCCCCCCCCCCCCCATCGCCCCGCCCCACTCCAGCGCTCCTCCGCCATGGCTTTGATGTAGCTGCCGCTGCGCATCCGCCGACAGGGGATTTCGTCATCCTTCCCCAGTGGAGAGAAGGCGCTCCACTCGTCCTGGGGCACCTGTGGTGGTGGACACAGAGGCAGGGTCACGGGGTCACGGGGTCAGAGTGTCGAGGCCATGATGATGTAACTGTACTTCAAAAATAAAACAACTTCCTGTCAAAGCACATGGTATGAACAGCAGTGAAGTCACTGCATCACAGCATCACAGCCACTCACCCCTGTACCGTCACCCTGACGTTGTCAGCCCTGTAACGTCACCCTGACGTTGTCCACCCTGTAACGTCCCCCTG